AAAAAATTGTGTCCTGTCAGCACAGTGGTACATTCCTGTTACCCCAGTTACTTGGGGTGCTGAGGCGGGAGGATCACAAGTTTGAGGCCCTAGGCAACTTAGACAAGGGGAAGGGGAAGGGGAAGGGGAAGGGGAAGGGGAAGGGGAATATCTCAGTGGTCAAGTGCTTGCCTAGCATCTGTGAAGTCCCAGGTTCAATCCCTAGTGTCTGTCTGTCTCTCTCTCTCTCTCTCTCTCTCTCTCTCTCTCTCTCTCTCTCACACACACACACACACACACACACACACAAAGATTTTAAAAATTTCATCTGTACTGAACATGTATAGACTTTTTTTTCCTTGTTATTTTCCCCTCAGTAATACAGTATAACAACTATTTATACAGCATTTGCGTTGGTAGGTATTATAAGTAATCAGAGATGATTTAAAATATATAGGAGAATGTGCAAGGTTATATGCACATTATTATATCATTTTATATAAGGGATTTAAACATTCTTGGATATTGGTATCCACCAATTTCTGGAACCAATTTCTTACAAATACTGAGGGATGACTATATTGTTTTTAGGGTTGAGGTTCCTGGTTGTTAAAGTAAAAATCCAGCTGGGCATGATGGCATATATCTGTAATCTACTTGGGAGACTGAGGCAGGTTTGAGGTAAACATCAAGTTTAAGATCAGTCTCAGCAATTTAGTGAGACTCTGTCAGAATTTTTTAAAATGAGGTAGGGACTGGAGATGTAGCTCAGTCATAGAGAGCCCCTAGGTTCAGTCTTCAAAACTGCAAAACAAAATAAACAAACAAAAGATGGGGAAGGAGGGAAGAATTCTAGAATGTCAGAACCAGATCTAAAAAATCATGTAGTAAAACTCCCTTTTTTTTTTTTTTCCTGTGGGAGAATCTGAGGTTCCTAATAGACCCCAAGTTATACAAAGAAAGGCTCATTGGCAGAAGTGGAGCAGGCTAGATCCAGTCTTTCCAACCCTGAAACTCTACACTGAGTTCTGTCAATCTGATAAGAAGAAATCCTGCAGGTCAGAAAATGTTTTTCCTGGTAACTTTGTCCGGTCGTCAGTAAGTAGGACAAGGGCCAATGTCTCCAGGGAGTGGAAATGTGCCCATGCCTGGCCTCCCCCTCCCATGACCTATGGTAAAGGACTTGGACTTGAGGTTTAACCCTCAGTCAGGAACCTGACTGGTAGAATGCTTGCTTTGCATGTACAAGGCCCTGGGTTTTATTCCTAGCAACACACACACACACACACACACACACACACACACACACACAAAATTGTTCCTTTTACCCTGTCCTTCCTGCCCTTTCTAAGACTATCTCCCTCAAAAAATGTTACCTGTTGAGTACCTACAATGTGTCAGGCCCTATGTAGGGCACTTTACGTGTCATCCTTTTAAATGTCCAAATTCTTCTCCCTGTTTTACTGATGAGAGAAACTGAGGCTCAGAGAACCTTAAGTATTATCCAAAGCAATGCCATCAGAATAGGGCTTAGCAGGGGTTTTGACCTTGGGAGGAGCTGGAGGCTATTTCCACCAGACTGTTAGAAACCCAGGGACAGGGAGGGAATGTRCCAGTTTCTTCTGGAATAACCTGGCTTAGAAACTGAGGGAAGGAAACCTGAAACCAGATCAACAGGGGAGCAGACAAGGGCCTGAAGCTGGCACCACCTGAGCACTTCTCCTAGGGACACCAGTAGAGCCAATACCCTGGTTATCTGCCACCCCTGCAGTCCCACCCATTTAGGTGACTCCCCTAACCTCCATCAGTACSGTTGATCCTGGGGGAAGGATACTCATGATTATAATTTGTCTTTGTGGACTGATGACAAGGCAGTTGTTAGTGTGCTGTTCTTGCCAGCTCAGGAGTATTCAGCTTATCCCAGAATACCCAATATATCATAGGATTTTGCCTGTCCCCCTTGTTAACATGTAGGCAAATTCTTATTACTTACTTACTTTTATACTGTAAAGTTTATAAAATGTTTTACAAATGGTATTTCAATGAATCTGTAGAACCACCCCCAAGTGTTAAATAAGAGCCTCTAGTTTATAGCCAGGGGCCCTGGCATTCAAAGAGGCTGAAGAGCTTGTTCATTGCATAAAGTGCAACGCAGAACCAGGACCAAACTGCGAGAGTCTACTGGCCTCAAATCTGTGTTCCACTCACTCCCTGAGGAGGCAATGGTAGAAGGAATCCTGGGCTAGAAGGCAGAAAGCTTGATGTTTATCCTAGACCTGTTGTACCTCAGTTTCTCAGTCTATGAAATGGCCTCATATTCCTTTGTCTCAGCTGATTTGTGCTGACTCCAACCCAAGAACCCCAGGTGTGTGGAATGCTAGAGGGTTTCCCCTGAGATTGCCCCCTAACCCTGCCTTGCCCGGACAGTTTGCCTTCAGGGACGACCTACCACTGGTGCGTCTGGAGGTAGCAGATGAGTGGGTGAGGCCGGAGCAAGCTGTAGTAAAGTATCGCATGGAAACAGTGTTCGCCCGCAGCTCTTGGGACTGGATCGGCTTGTACCGGGTGAGAAGGGCAAGGGTGGTTGGTGTATTAGGGGAGGAAGTGCCCTGGAGGAACAGCTGAGGGTCACTGCTGTGTCCAGTGTTTGGTGTTATTCCCRGAGGCTACTGGGAAGGGGTATTAGAGGTCACAGTCCTCATTCTTCTTGTCCCAGGTGGGTTTCCGCCACTGCAAGGACTATGTGGCTTATGTCTGGGCCAAACATGAAGAYGTGGATGGGAATATCTACCAGGTACTTAGAAGGAAAGGGAATGTAGGGAGACCTCAAGACTCATCTTGAGGTAGCCCCCTTAATCCCAACTTGGGCTTATACCCCTGGGCCCACCAGGTGACATTCAGTGAAGAATCGCTRCCAAAAGGCCACGGAGACTTCATCCTGGGCTATTATAGCCACAACCACAGCATCCTCATTGGTGTCACTGAACCCTTCCAGGTAAGTAGGCCAGACTGCAGGGTCATGGGATGCCAAAAGGCCCTGTTCAAATGCCAAAGCCTCCACATTCTACTCCGAGACCTCAGACCAGTAGCCCAATTCTCTAGGTCTGCCAATGGGAGGATTGGAGTGGTTTCAAGAGGCCTCTGTGGCCAGGTTGGGGAGTGGGGTGCTCCAGTAACCAGCATTCCCCTCAGATCTCGCTGCCTACCTCGGAGTCAGCCAGCAGCAGCACAGACACCTCGGGCACCAGCTCAGAGGGTGAGGATGACAGCACTCTGGAGCTGCTTGCACCCAAGTCCCGCAGCCCCAGTCCTGGCAAGTCCAAGAGACACCGTAGCCGCAGTCCAGGCCTGGCCCGTTTCCCTGGTCTTGCCCTTCGGCCTTCATCCCGTGAACGCCGTGGTACCAGCCGTAGCCCATCACCCCAGAGCCGCCGGCTGCCCTGGGTGGCCCCTGATAAGAGCAATAGTAGCGGCAGCTGGGGAAGTAGTGAGGAGGGGCCTTCTGGGCTTCCTGGCCCCTGGGCCTTTCAACCAGCTGTGCCTCGAAGCCTGGGCCTGCTGCCAGCTTTGCGTCTGGAGGCTGTAGATCCTGGTGGTGGTGGCTCCTGGGGACCTGATCGGGAGACCTCTGACCCTGACAGCCTATCTCCCAGTCCCCAGGGACGTCAAGGACTAGAGGAAGGGGGCCTAGGGCCATGAGGATGGGGTGGGCAGATGGGCCCTGGTGGCCCCACTCTGCCTCAATCTTCCACAAACCTGCCTGCCTCTCTTCTGCTGCTGCTCCAGCTGTATCTGTACCTACCACTCTGTCCTGGCCAGGGGTGKCCAAGTAGGGTCCCCCCAAACTCAGTCCTGGCACTTTAACTGTGATAATCAGCAAAGCCCCGCCTGGACCCCCATCTGGATTGGTGGGGGAGCACTGGCAGAAATCCTAATCTTGGAGTACATCCATTAGGAATTAAATTCTCCAGCTTCACTCCTGGCTGTTTCCTAACTTCTTAGCAGTCTGGGGATGGGGGTAGTTAGTCAGAAGCAGAGAATAAAGAGGTAAGAGAATGACAGAATTGACATTTACCAGGTACTATATATGGGATTCATGCCATCTCCTTTAATCTGTACCACAACCAAATGGGTTCAGTGCCATTCTTAGACTCAGGCATGGGAGAGCAAATTGAGGTCTCCAAGAGGTTACATCAGTTTCTCAGGATTTTACACCAAAGCAGTTTGGCTGTGTTAGAGAAGGAATATTTACTAGGTGCTAAGTGCTATAAGTATGTATATATTAGTTCACTTGATCCCCAAAAGACTATGAGGTAGCTCTGGTATACACACACACCCTTTTCAGAGGAGGAAATCAAGGCTTAGAACAGGGGAGGGAGGTCCTTTGCCCCAGTGCACAGAACAGATTTGAATTAGGTTTAGGGCAGAAAGAATGGTCCAGGCCTAGGCTAGGAAAGTTGTATCAGCTATTAAAAGAAGGAGCCCCCTAGAAAGAGAGGAGTTGGGAAGCCCTCTCCAGTGCCCCCATCCTGGATTCAGATGCAGGTACTTCTGTGACATTCCTAGTTTCCTACCAGCTGCCCTTGGTGTCATGACAAGGTGCTAGGGCTTTCCTAGGCAGGTTATTGAGACATGTATTAATTTTGCAACATGAATACGCATGTACCTACTTCTGGGACCTCCTGGGGCTGCTGCAATAAGTTACTCTCCCCATTTCCATTCAAATGTGAAGTTTCCTGTATAAGACCCTAAGCCCAGGGCATTAGAGTGAGCCTCCTGAATACCACGTTCACAAAACTTCACAGAGGGTTTTTGTCACCAGCTTAAGGTCACCCAGCACTGCAGGAGACATGCTCTGGTATTTGAGCCTTAAGGTCCCCCACCTCTAGCCTCCCGGCTTTCCATAAGAGCTTCTGCCATGCTGCAGTCTAACCCACGGAGAAGAGGCCAAGATTCCCAGTGCTTGGTCAAGCTAGGGATAAGGTCCAAGCTGATGCTCAAGAGAACTGGAACTGAGGTCACTAGCTCCAGAATTTCTGCTGCCCATTAAGTCTCCAGGTTGCCTGGGTTAGCTGCAGGCACTGGTTGTAGAATGACACAGGAGTCCCTGTGGGCTCCAATGGCCATGCCTGCCCTTCCTCTGTGTCTTTATCCCTGAGTTGGAATCGTATCTTCTGAAGTCGCCGCAAGTGTCGTACTGACACCTTGATGGCCCTTGGGTCTTTGGAACAGCTGTTGGAAGAGAACCAGACGGTCAGCACTAGCAGAATTCCAGCCTACTCTGCAGACAATGGGATCAATGCCCAGAGAGGATCAGGAGCAAAGCTAAGGTCACAACAAGGCAGAGAGGGCACGGTTATACCTAGAAGGTAGGCAGAATAAACCTGATCTGGTCCCCAGAGGCCTGGGTTCTGTTACTACCTGGCTATGGGAACCTGAGCCAGTGCAGGCCTCAGTTTCCTCTTCATCTGTAAAGTGGGAATAATAAGGGGCTGGCTTTGAGAATCAGAATCCAAATGAGATTGTGGATTAGGAATGAACATTAAGCATTTTACTGTGTTTCAGGCAAGTCTTGGTATATCACAAAAGACGTTTCCTTGGCTTGTATAACCACTTTACAGATAAGGAAATGGAGGCTTGGAAAGGTGAATCAACTTGTCAAGGACACACAAGAATTACATGACAGAGCCAAGATGCAACCCCAACAGGCCAACTGCAAAACTGGATCTGAGGCAATAGGGGATAGGGAACAGATGACAAAGAAACTCAGAAACCTCCTGACCTTTTCCCCACCCGCTTGGCCCAGGCACACAATTGGGGTATAGGTAACCCATCCCTTGGGGAAAAAAACAACAACAACATATTTCCTGGCTTTGCCATCACTTACCCTTTGTCCTCAGCACAGTCCAGTGAAGGGACCAGTTTGAAGCAGGTGGTGCCCAGCAACTCCCAGAGCATGTTGGCACCTGCAGGTGGGCTATGGAGCCTCAGGAAGCGTGCCAGACTGCGGGCAGAGTTAGTCTCAGGCTAGGTTTGAACCTCACCAGCAAGGTGCCCCTTCCAAACAGCCCACCACCAGGGAGCCCTGCAGGCCTCACCGTTGTGTGCAGTTGCAGTGGAAAAGGGGCCCACGGGCACTGTTGAGCAGCTGGAACTTGGTTTCCTGGGGCTTAATTTGGTGCTCACACTGGTCCAGGCGGCGGAAGCTACGGCAGGCCCTGTGGGCACCTGGGGGGATATATGGTCATGAGGGTTGCCCAGTATACCAGAGTGGCCTCACCAATGTTTGCCACCATTCAGGAGAAATACGAGAATATATGCTCAGTCACACAAACACAGTCTCTGTCTCCTGCCCTTCATGCTCTTAGAGTGTTGCCCATGTGGGATGTGCCCCTACACACACACACACACACACACACAAAGTGTCCCATGGGGAAACTGAGACTGCTGCTGAGGGTGGACAGGAAAGGCTTCCTGGAGGAAGAGACTGCTAAGCTGAGGCTGAGAGAGGAAGAGGGAGGAGAGTACTTCAGAAAGAAGGAACAGTATGAACAAAAGCTCAGAGGAGAAAGAGCAGGCTGCATGGTTTTATTCTATTTTTGCAGTGATGGAGGTCAAACGTAGGGCCTTGCACACTGTAGGCAAATGCTCTACCACTGAACTACATCTCCAGTCTTTGAAGACTGCATTTGAGGAGCCAAATTAAATTTGTTAAACTGGAATTTTGACTGGGGGATGGGTTTATAGGGCCTCAGGACCACTGGTCATTGGGACTTTTGTCAACTGTGATAAAAAGTAGCCATGACATCACATGAGAAGAGCTCAGTAGATGTGAAGTGATGAGATAAAATTTGCATATTATGAAAATCCCTTACTTCGGTGTGATTTGATGGTAAAGGTTGAGATACCCTATGAGCACTTGGAGCAGGAAAATAAACAACATATACTTCACCCACCAAAATGCACAAAGAGGATACCCCCCTCATATCAGGAACTCCTAAGGCTAGATTCTGAGCTTACCCTGAGGTTTTAGGTGCTGGAGAACTGGATGGGGAGCCCATGTCTCAGCTGTGGGGGCTACATCAGTCCTGGAGGATGTGGCCTGGAAGACTGTGGTGTTGGCCACACTGGGGTACCTGGAGTTTTTTAGCTGTGGCTGCCTCTTCTGAGGGTGCTGCTTTTGTTGCAATTTGGTGGGGGCTAGGCTTTGGGGACTTGGAGTCAGGGAGGTGATGGGGGATCTCCAGGAGGCATTGTAGTAGGTAGTGGGCTGGAGATGGGCGAGGAGCACCGAGCCATACGTTCTACACCTGGAAGATGGCAGTTGGTGGCAATTGATGACCAAGATTCCCTGCCTCCAGAAGCCCCCAGGGTGCTTCTAGAAACCCCTGGAGTTGTCCCCAAGAGACCAAGTATATCTGCCAGTCCCCTTCCCCATCTTACTGGGTTGTGGGAGGCACTGAAGAAGGTGCCTGAACCCTGCCCTAAGGAAAGGACAAGCCTGACAAGAAATCATTCCCTGAAGGATAGACAGCCCTCCCTCACCAGACTTGAAACCCAGGTTCCCCTGCTGATTGGGAAAGGACTCAAGGGGTGCAGCCACATACCCTCCCCACCAGTACCACTCCACACACGCCTCCTTCTCCTTCAGCACAAAGCAGGGGATCTCCAGTACGTTGAAGAAGGCTACACCCACAATGTCCGAGATGGAGTCATGCTGGTTCCTCAGGCATTGCTGGAACCTGCCCCAGAGTCAGCATTCAGGTCCTCGTAGTAGAGAGAGCTCCTGGCTCTTCCAGCAACCCACCCTGCCACTATCAGCCAAAAGTTTGTGGTTCAAAAGTTCCTTCCCTCTCTCAGTTCTGTTTTTCCATCAGCACTATGAGGTACATGCTGGCTGATCTTTAGGATTCTCTGGAATCTTAAGAATTACTCTGCCCTGTCCCTGAGCCTTAGACCCTCTGCCAACCTGGTATCACAGTCACAGTGGGAGATGGTATGGAATCTGAAGTTTCGGATGCCATAGTTATACTGCAAGGGCGAGATGTTCTGTGGGCAGCGGTCATGTTCCCGGCAGCAGAGATCAGGGCCCTGGAAGATCCCTGCATGGAGGGGAAAGAACACCAGCTCACCAGGGTCCTGGGTAACACCCACCAGCTATGCCCACCTGATATCAAGAGGACAGAGTTCTGGTTCTCACTCCAGCCCTGACATAAAACCCTGACATAAAACTCAAGCCAGTCATTCTCCCTCTATGAGAGCCTCTGTTTCAAAGTTTCAAGAGAACAGCCAGTCTGCAGCCCTTTTTGGGCAAATCCCAGTGCCAGACAGCCCACCCATGAGCATATGGAAAGATCTTCCTTAGGGGAATTGGAGTCTGCCCCTAGGGTTCCCAAGCTCATGCTCCAAATAAAACTCTGAAGTTAGGAATGTGTGTGTAATAGAGTGGTACACAGATAGAGTACAGCCTTTCTTACTGGCAAAATGAGGTACTGCTGACCTACCAGACTCAGGTGCCAAATCATCCCCTAACCCTCCACACAGATAGTAACCCATCACAGTCCAGGCAGTAGCTCCCTTTACTGAACACACCCTGAGTGCCCAGCACATCCCACGCCCAAACTCACAGCAGTCCTGAAAATGAGGTGTCACCTTCGTTTTACAGGTGAGGAAACTGGGGTTCAGTGGGGAAGTGACTTGCTAAGTATGAATGTGCTTATTTGAGATTCAAACCTAGACTTATAGGTACAGGTTTTTTGGCTCAGCAGAACTTGAATCCTCCCCAGTCTATTCCCTCCCTCAGATGGTGATTAATGAGGACTCCCAGGTTTGAATAAGACCTTCTGCATCTATTATATCACTTAAGCGTCCCATGATAAGACTCATGGTCACCCCCACTTTATAGATAAGGAAATTGAGACTCAGAATTGTTAAGTCACTCCTCAAAGGACTCTCAGACTGGGAAAGTGGGATCCAGTGCTGAAGCCTGTGCCTCCCCCATCAGATACCCAGCTCACACCCCTGGGGCTCACCCAACTCCGAGGAGTTCCCAGCAGAGTCTCCAACTCCACACCACAGTGTGCCAGGCATGGTCCAGCCTCTCTTTGTTCGCAGATACCCTCTGCCAGGTGCTTCACTCTGCCCTGCCATTCTCCTCTCCCTGGCCCTTGCTGGACCTTCCTCAGGTCCTCGGCAGGTTTCCCACTGACTCTGAAGCATGGCCAGTGTTCTCTGAAGCTCAGGTCCGGGGGTGTGAATGAAGAAGCCCTGGGTGATCTCATGAACACAGAGAGCACCGAAGGTTGCCGTGAGCTCTGGTTCATCCAGCCTGCTACATACCTGCAGCCTTCTGTGTGCATCCCAGCGGGCGTGGAACAGTGCCAGTCCCTGGGTATCCTTGCCCAGGAAGCTCAAGGACCCAAGAGGGCTGCCAGGGATGGATCTGGCCAAGTGGCAAGAAGTGCTATCCCAGTGGAGGGCATGGGAGCCCCCTGGAGTAAACCCCAGAAAGCCAAGCACCCCTAGCAGCACTGCCAGAACCCCCATTCTGCCCTAGCCCAGCCTGGTCAGACAAAGCCCCCTGGCGGCCCACGAGGCAGCAGCTAAGCGGGGGTGGGGGTGGGGGGCAGCGGAAGCTATGTCCAGCAGGCCCTGTGAGGCAGGGCCAATGAATGGAGCAGCAGGAGGAGGAGAAAGGAGGCTGGAGTATGGGGTGATCTTGGGCTTGTAACCGAATCCACCGGCTGGGCAGGCTGCTGATTGGCTGAGGAGTGCACTTGTGGGGCCCACGCCTCCACTCACCCTGCCCTTCTCAGCGCCATCCAGTCACCTGCTGCCAGCCCCGCCTGGATGAGGACTGTGGGAACCAAAGCCCTGGGCCAAGGCGGGGTGTTGAGGGAACGTGGTGGGGGGTGGGGGGGCACATTCTGTTGCTCCCTGGGGAAGGAAGAAAGTTAAGGGGCTTGGAGGAGACCTCTAAAACCTATCCTTGTATCCCTATTCCAGTGGTGGCTGACACACCCACTGCCATCAGATTGGCAATAGGCCATGGACCTCAGCCAGAGCTGGGTAAAAGACGTGAGGGCAGGGCTGAGGATTCTGGGGCTACCACCCTGGGAGTTCCCTAGTCTTCTGGGAAAGGAAGTGACTATTCCCAGGCACAGGCCCTGATGCTCACTCCCTAATTCTGATTGTTAAAAGACTCTTGACATAGCAAGGGGACAGTGCTACAGGGTTCCCCACTTTCTAGGACTCCAAGCACAGACCTGGCCTAGCAGCAATTCTCCTGGTCTGATGAATGAGAGAGACATAGCTGGAACAGGCCTCGAAAACAGCATAGAGCATGGCCAACACTCTGGATTCGAAGGAATTATGATCCCCAGAGGAACAGAGTGGCCCAGGGGGCTAGGTCTGTGCCACCTCTATCCCTGAGCTGTGGCTACCTGAGAGACTCAGCAGGCATCATATGTTGCTCCAAGAGACAGGGGTCTCTTCAAGGGAGGGGCGATACCTAGCACTTGGTCCTGTGTCCCCAAGTTGTCATATCATTCAGTTTCCAACCATCTGGTGAAGATGAGTGTTTATATCCATAGTACAGATGAAAAAACCGAGGCTCTGCACAGGTGGGGAAACCTTAGGTAACAATCAGGCCATAGCTAAAGAGAGGTTAGAGATTAGGAGTGAAGCTTTTACGGGGATTGACTGGGAATCAAGGATAGCCAGGACAGTGACTTGTCTGTCTGTCCATTTGCCTGTCAGCTTACTGCTTCCCCAACATCTGGTCAATCTCCATCTAAGTCTCTCCACATAGACCAGCCCCAGCAAGGCAGAGCCAGGCAGAGCTGGGGAACTCAGTGTGCAGCTAAAGGGCAAAGAGGATGTAGGGTAGAAAAGCCCATCTCTATGCTTCAGAACCAACCTCGGTTTGTGGTCCAAAGGTCATAGCTAGAGACAATGAAGAGAAGGGAGATGGATGGGAGGAGTCCAAGAGCCAAGCAGCCAAGCTCTTTCTCCTCCTCCTCCTCCTCCTCCTCCTCCTCCTCCTCCTCCTCCTCCTCCTCCTCCTCCTCCTCCTCCTCCTCCTCCTCCTCCTCCTCYTCCTCCTCCTCCTCCTCTTCCTCCTCCTCCACCACCACCACCACCACCACCAGGGATTGAACCGAAGGTCACTTAACCACTGAGCCACAACCCCAGCCCTTTTAATTTTTTTGAGACCGGGTCTTGCTAGGTTACTTAGGGCCTTGCAAGTTGCAGAGGCTAGCTTTGAACCTTCATTCCTCCTACCTCAGCCTCCTGAGCTGTTAGGATTACAGGCATGTGCTACCATGCCCAGCAAGGAGCCAAACTCTTTCTTTCCAGAGGTTTGGGAAAGGAGATGTAGAGTAGAGCAAGTGGCAGGATGGGAAAGAGAGCAAGGACTTACAAGGGCAGAGACAGAACTGAACCAAGTTGAATCCCTCTAAGAAGAATTTGACACTTGAAAAAAAAATAACATCATTCTGGTATTTTCTCCTATCATAGGACCTGCCACCCACCTCTACTTGCTTTTCCACATTATAGACCCCTTCCCTGCTCATCACTCAGAGAGGATGGGAGGTATTAGCACAGTGTGACCATGGGCTTAGAAGTTGACTTCTCTAAGTTTCCTCTTCTGTATGATGAATGTAATCATAGTAGTCACCTCACAGGATGTTGGTAAGACTCTTAGCACCATGTTTGACATTTAAAACACTATCACTAAAGTCTCAGGAAGTGGTTTACCCAGAATAAACCAAGTCTCAAGGTTTTCAGGCCACAGCGTCTGTGATGTCTACTAGCTCTGTTTAAATGGGAACTGTGCAACTAATGGTGAAGCCACTACTTGGCTATGGAACTTCAGTCTTGTCCCTGTCCCTCTCTGGACCTCAGTTTTCTCCTCTGTGCAGTAAGAGGTACAATGGAATTGACCTTTGAAGTCTCTATCTGGGCCCCAAAAAGAGGCAGGCTGGAACCTGCTTAGGCCTCCAGGAAGGAGGGATTCACTGGGTTCATACTCCACCTTGGTGGCCATGTCAGCCTACAGGACAGGCTTGGTGTCTTGCCTCCCACCCAGGGTGACCTCTCACAGGATGGGAAGGTCAAACCAGTGGGACAGGATTTGCTTGACAGAAAGGGGGCTAAGCTTTCCCCTGAGTTCCCATGCATCTGGGTTGGGCTGGCTCCATGGCAGGTGCCAATGGGGAGTGAGAGAATGGAACATGGGAGGTGTTCTCTCCTTCCTCCCTCTCTCCACCAATCCCTATCACTCTTTGTCATCTTTTGTCTTCTCTCTCATCCTCCTCCAACTCTTGTTCTCTTTCTGTATCTGGCTGAGAGTTTCGTAATTCTGTTTCCTCCATCCCTTCCTTTCCCCATCTTTCTGTTTCTGATTCTACCTCTCCGCCTTTTCCATTTCCCTCTTCATTTCCTGTGGGTGGGTGGGAGTAAGGGTTAACTAGGGAATAAACCAAGGGGTGTTCTACCACTGAATTACACCCCCAGGCTTTTTTATTTTTTTCTTTTGAGTCCCACTAAATTGCTGAGGCTGGCCTTGAACTTAATGATCCTCCTGCCTCAGCCTCTGAGTTGCTGGAGTCATAGATGTGCACCACCATGCCTGGCTCCATTTCTTTCTTTTTATTTCCTCTACCTCTCTTTAGTTTTCCACTACCAACTGCTTTCTCCCCCCCCCTCCTCCTTCTCTCCCTCCCTCCTTTCATATTTCTTTCTTATTTTTCCAGTTCTTCCATCTCTAAGGGTACCTCTCTGTGCTTCTCCCCCACTTTCTCTTTTCCTCTATTTCCCTGCTGTTTTGCATTGTCAGGGTTCGAACTCAGGGCTTCACACCTCCTAGGCAAGCATTCTACCACAGAGTTACATCCCCATACATCCACCCCACTCCCAGTCTTTTGAGACTTGGCCAAGCTAACCTCAAACTTGAGATCCTCCAGCCTCAGCCTCCTGAGTAGCTGAGATTACAGGTATTCACCACCATGCATGTCTTCCCATTTCTTTCTTAATTTCTCTCTCTCTCTCTCTCCCTCCCCCTCTCTCTCTTATAAACCCGTGAGCACTCCCTTTTTCTCTTTCTCTTAGTTTTCCTGCCTGTTTCCCTGTCTTTGGGTTCTCTCCTGCTCTTTTTCCCTCTTCGCTTTTTCCATCCCCCCCTTTATTTTTTATTCCTCTCTTTCTCTCCTCCCTCCCCATCTTGTGTGTGTGTGTGTGTGTGTGTGTGTGTGTGTGTTTGTATTTCTCTTCCTCTCTCCTTTTGTGTTTCCACTTTTCCCTTTCTCCTTATTTTTTTTCTCTTCCTCCTTTTTTCTCCACCCTCCCCCTCTACACCATGGCCCCAGGTACAGGACAGAGAGCCTTGGGTATGCTCCACCCTTCCATTTACATTTTTCCTGATTCGACCTCGTCTCACAACCCCTGCCCCTCCCTAGGGAGACAGGTAGGGTGGGGCTTCTCACCCTGAATTGAGAAGAATAGAGACCTAAGAAGAGGGGTGACTTGCTGGAGTCAGTCGCCCAGCAAATCAAGAGAGAATCCAGGTCTGACTTCTCCCAGCATGCAGGAAGACCTCCCAGGGCCTAGGAAATGCTCGGTCCCCTCCCCCCACCCCCATCTCCCGCAGGCCCCCATGCCTAACGTCTCAACTTCAGGGGCCTTGCTCCCCACAGGCCTGAAGTGTGTCCTCCCTCTGGCCTTTGGAGCTGGCACTCCCAGTCTTACCCGGAAGGTTCTCTGTGCTCTCTGTGCAGGGATAATGGGGCAGACAGTGCCTAGCTCCAGAGCATGCAGTGTTCATTCAAAAACAAATAGTTACTGAGTTTACTATGTGCCAGGCACAGGGGGAGACCCTGGAGAGAGCGTGAGCATGAGAAAGGCAAGGAGGGGGAACACAGCATGCCCAAGAGCAGGGAGGAGGGGAAACATCTCTTGGGAGAATGGGGTCTGGCAGCGCCAGAGAGGGGATAGGGCCCACTGTCAATTCGGTCTTCCAGGAAGCCACTGCCAAGACAGAGTTAGAAGTACAAGAGATTTATTGGAGGAAATGCCTGTGAGAGATAAAAGGAGAGGAAGCAAGACTGTGCAGGGAGACCATGTTTCAGCTCTGACATCTATGGGAAGAGAGAGGACAGAAGGAGGTTGGGTAAGAAGGGTCTCACATTTCACTGGGCTCTGAGAGTCTTGGCCAGCCAACAGAGGAGCTCTGGTGCAGAAATTTCCAATAGAGGAGTCCCAGCTGGGCAGAAACAGCCAGGACCTAGTGACCCAGTTGTGCCTGTCTTTGACTGGAGGCTTCCCAAGAAGACAGTGGTCTCTGCTCCAATGCTGCTGCAGATCCTGAACGTGCTGCCAGCCAACTGCTCTCTTAAAGCTGATGGCTGCTACATCCAGGAATTAGACATCCATTTGACTGGGGCAGTCACCACTACAGACCAGGAGGGGAAACTCAGTGAGATAAACAGTGGAAGCTGAAAAATCAACCTTCCTCCAGAGGATCCCAGGTTATGGAATAGGAATCT